TTTTAATCCCCCCCCCCCCTTTTCTCCTAAGTATTAGAAACGAAATGGACACTCACCTCATCGGAAGCAGATCGAAGACACTGGACAGCAGCCTGTTTTTTCATCTCCTCTAGCGTGAGGTCTGAGCACTTTCTCTTATTCCTTCCCCACTTCCTGTCAGCTCCCTTCTCCCAGCCCAGGAAGCTGTCATTTTCCTAAAGTAAGATGAGCGAGTTTCAATGACCGAGCGTAAGTAACAGGTTTCACATGTGGTTACTTCCCCACACGGACACCCCTACCACACGCATTAATCCATAAACTTGTGCCCACTCATCAAAATCCAGTGAGAGGCGGAGCACTTCAGGGTATCTACCCCTGAGATTGATTACTTATGATTTATTACTTATGATCTTAATAAATCTGACCCATATATTTATAGTAAGTGCTAATAAACTCAGACATTTGTAGGTAAACTCAAGTATTATTTAAGTTTCCGTATGAGTCCGAAACTATATACACAGTTAAGTGTCCTTGACACTTCCCACGCTTTAATAGTGAGTGTCCAGGGTTTAAGTGGTTAAATCCCTATCTCTGTATCTTGTAGTCTTAAAAAAACAGATATAAAATATGTTAGGTTAGTACTTGAAGTTTATTTTTCCCTTGACTTTTTATGCCCATTATAAAAATCTGAAGAAAATACGAAAAGCAGGCGAATCACCCATGACCTACTGCCAGGGAAAGCTAGGACAGTCTGGTTGGCTTCATCTGGGCTTTTCCTTAAGCTTTAAACACATAGTTGAATTCACACTAATTGTATAATTCTGCCTTTGATGTAACTTATTATGTTGTGAACACTGCCCCCATGTTATTATGAATTCTTTGGCTACATAATATTCCAAGATGTTAAGTTTACTTAGCTATTTCCCTAGACTGGGACTTCTTAAATTTATTATTTTTAATCGCTTTGCTATATTGTTTTTTTTAAAAGCTTTTATTTGATAAATTATGATTAAAACCAGTGGACAGACAACAAGGGGAAAAATACTAGAGAGACAGACAAAGGTAAAATTTAAAAAATTACTTAGAAGAGTACTCGGCCTCCTGTGGTTCCTCAGGAAATAGATATAAATCAATGAGATGGAATAAAGGAAAAGCATCATCATCATTCATTCAAAAGATCTTTAAGATCAAATCGTATGCCATCAATTGCCTAACCCAGTTTTTATTTTAATCCAGTATGATATACTTTTATGCCACCAGACAAAGAGTGCAAGAAGGGTTCATCCTGCCCCTACATGCATCATAATTAGCATACTTTTTACTTAATTTCTTAGGCATGTTTGCAGATTTAACGAACCTGAAAACCATTTTCCTGGCTGAGTGGTGTCTATTCCACTTTCCAAGGGAAAATGTGTTTGATAGCCAAGTAAGAACTATCAGTATATTTCCACTAATCTGACGTGTTTGGCTGAACTACACCTGAAACCTGACATTTCTTATCAAAGATATCTCCTAAAGATAGGGCTTGTCCTTTACCAGGAGCAGAGGACAGGGCCACAACAATGCAGACCAAAGCTTCTGAAGGCAGAGAAAAGTGTTCTAATTTTCTCTGTTGTTCATAGTATATAAAACAAGGTAAGAAAGATATTTGTGTAATTATTGAAAACAGGACTTTTTCTGTTTGAGCTGCTGAGACAGGCTCTTCCTCTTTACCGAGCATTATAACCACATTTCTCTACTGAAGCTGTATTATAGCTCAACAGAGGTAACACGTTCAAAGGTCCTAATAAAGTTTTATTAAACAGACAGAAGGTCCTTTCAAATTCACATGGACATGTAGTCAGTCCTCCAGGAGGGCAGTTTGACAATACACACCAAACACCTTAAACATGTACATGTAGTTTCAATCCAACTACTGGAAATTTATCGCAAGGACGTAATCACTGAGGTGTGCACAAAGTTAGGTGCAGTGGTGACTGTAGAAACCACCTAAATGTCAAATAAGGACTTGGTTAAGTTACGTTCATCAGGGCGATAAGGTATTGTAACCATTAAAGAGATTATAAGCATATTTATTCACATGGAAAGCGATCCACAATATGTATAAGCAAAGAAGTTTACACAACAGTATGATCTCATGTTTGGTTAAAACACACATGCACGTACCCTTACTGTGCACCAAAAGGCCCGAGAGAAAGGGAAGAGGTTACTGAGATGCTTCTGTGGTGAGTAGGAGCAAGGCACTACGATTTTTCTTGTAATTACGTCCTACTCCTTTAGTAATCAGAAGGTTTTGTTTGTTTTTAAATGGAAAACCTACAAGTCAGGAATAGAGAAATGAGAAGGCTTCCTGGGCATGGTCCCCTGGAACAGGTACCTGGCATCAGCTCTACGTGTCCTGCCTGGCGTGCCTTTGTTTACACATGGGTCCATGTGCGCCCAGCATCCACCTCAGTGTCTTCTTTGGGGCACAGGATCATAAGGATGAATTCAAGCCAGTCCCTGCCTGCCCGAGGCCCACGGTCCAGTGTGGAATAGACACCTGGGAGCTAACGCTTGCGGCCTGGTTGTTGCTGTTATGAAGTGTGGAAAGCACTTAGGAAACAAGAGAGGCTCGTTTTTTTTTGGTCTGGTTGGTAGGTAAAGGCTTCCCACAGAAGGAAGGGTTACTGAAGCGGAGTCTTAGAGAGAGAGCAAGGGTTGGGGCTGGAGTGAGGGGAATGAATGCGGGGCAGAGCATGCGCTGGAGCAAGGGGTAGCAACCTTTTCCCACGCCGTCAATTAGCAAATACTTGAACCTTTATAGGTCAAGAGGATACATCAAGGGCAGAATGTAGGTACTTTTACCAAAGAGAGAGAGAAAATAATTTTTCACAATTACTTATTGACAGAATTCAAAATAGAATTCAGTACAATTTTTTGTAATACAGGTCTACTGAGAAGAATAGAATTCTTTTTGGGGTGAGATAATAGCTGCTTAATCAGGGTTCAAAGGTAGAGTTCTCTATCACCAAAATCAATCACAAATGTTCATCTGTTAATGCTCTTTTTTCTAAAATAATAGTTGTGTTGACATATACTTCACATATTATAAAATTTACTCTTTTAAAGTGTAACATTGAGTGGGGTTTTTAGAATATTCACAGGGTTATGCAAGAACCACCGTCTAATTTTAGAACATTTTCACTACCCCAAAAGGAAACCTGTACCCGATAGCAGTCCCTTCCCACTCCTCTCCTGAGTCACCAGTAACTACCACCTGCTATCTCTATGTATCTGTCTATTCTGGACATTTCATATAAATGGATTATACAATATATATCCTTCTGTGTCTGGCTTCTTTCACTCAGTGTGAGGTTTGGAAGGCTCACCCATGTTGTGGCATGTGTCAGTACTTCATTTCTTTTTATGACTGAATAATATTCCACTGCATGGATGTACCACATTGTTTATCCACTCATCCACTGATGGGCATTTGGGTCATTTCCTCCTCTTGGCTATTACAATACTGCTCTAAATATTCATATACAAGTTTCCGTATGGACATATATTTTCAATTCTCTTGTTATACGCCTAGCAGAATTGCTGGGTCATGTGGTAACTCTATGTTCAACCCTTTAAAGACCTGCCAGGCTACTTCTCAAAGCAGCTGCACCATTTTACGATTCCACCAGCAAGATATGAGGGTCCCAATTTCTCTACATCCTCACAACATTTGTTATTGCCTGCGTTTTTTATCTTAACCATTCTAGTGAGTGTGAAGTGGTATCTCAGCACCATTTTGATTTCCCTAATGAATGATAATGTTGAGCATCTTTTCATGACCTCACTGGCCCTTTGGACACATATTTAAATCTTTTGCCCATTTTAAAATTATCTATTCTGAATACACCTCTCTTATCAGCTACCTTTCAAATATTTTCTCCAATTCTATGGGTTATCTTTCCATTTTTTTGATGGTGTCGTTGGAAGCACACAAGTTTTTCCTTGTGATAAAGTCTCACATAGTGACGTCTTTTTTGGCTGCTTGCACTTTGGGGTCATATCTAAGAAACCAGACCCGAGTCACAAAGATTTACTCTCATGTTTTCTTCTAAGTTTTAGCTCTTACACTTAGGTCTATAATCCATTTTCAGTTAATGTTTGTATGTGGTATGAGATAGGGGTCCAACTTCACTCTCTTGATGTGGCTACCCTGCTATCGCAGCATCCTGTATTGAAAAAACCATTATTTCCCTGGTGAGTGGTCTTGTCAGACACCAACTAAACCTAAAGATTTCTAGACTCTCAGTACCAAACTGTCTTGAATACTGGAGCTTTGTAGTAAGTTTTGAAATTGGGAAGTGTGAGTCCTTCCACTTTGCTCTTCTTTTTCAAGATTTTTCAGGCTATTCGGGAGCCCTTGCATTTCCATATGATTTTAGAATCAGTTTGCCAATTTCTGTGACAAAGGCAGCTGACGTTGTGACAGACTGTGTTCTATCTGCAGGTCAGTTGGGAGAGTACCGCTACCTTAATAATATTAAGTCTTCTGATCATGAACATGGGATGTTTTTCCACTTGTTAGGTCTTCTTTGATTTCTTTCAATGACACTTTGTATTTTCAGTGTGCAAATCTTGCACTTATTTTATTAAATTTATTCCCAAGTATTTTCTTTTTGACACTATTGTAAATAAAATTTTCTTAACTTCATTCCTTAGGATTTTCTATATATAAGACCATGGCACATGTCAACAGAGACATTTTTAGTTCTTCCTTTCCAATCTGGATGCTTTTATATTGTTTTCTTACCTAACTGCCCTGTTAATGCTGATTTATAATAAGATTTTATTATTTCATCTTTGAAAATGTCTTCACACAAAGACATTGCCAAACACTGATATTAATGCCAGGCACAAGTCTAGCTGAACACATTAATTCTCAGAGGCATTTATAAAATTCTGCTGCATTCTTCTCCCAACAGCTGCCTTTAGAGTGTGGTCACACTGCAGATTCATCGCTCCCGAGTGGAAGTTAGTTGGAAGCGTCTCAACTGAACAGTTGAATAGATTTTGAGGTCCGGCCGCTGCTGATGCACCGTGTTCCGGTGTGTGACTGCGACTGCGACTGCGACTGCGGCTGGAGCTGCACCTGGAGCTGGAACAGCGCCGCTCAGATCTGTGTAGGAATGCGGATTCTGCTTGTTTTAGCCTTTGACAGAATAAAAGTGTATAA